GAGTCGGGGACGGGCCAAGACGGCAGGACACGCCGGCACGCAGAGACGACAGGGCTTGGTGATGCTCCAGGAGGTGGAGGGGGGGGGAGTTTCCGAGGATGACACCTAGGCGTCTGGCTGACGACAACGACCATGGGGATGCGTGAGGGCAGCATTGGGCCAGATGAGGGCGGAGAGGAGGGCGGAGAGGAGGGCGGAGAGGAGGGCGGGCCCGTCCTCAGTTGGGTTTCCTAGGACTCTGGCTGGAAGTGCCTTGCACAGCTAGCGGGGTGGTCGGAGGCCACTCAAGGCGCAGAGAAGGCGTCGGAGCCCGGGGCTCACGTCGGGAGTCCCACATGCTGCGGCTGGACCCGCAGGCCCAGGGAGAGGAGGCACGGGAAGGGGGGCAGGGACCCCGGAGGCGCCTGCCGGCAAAGGCCTGGGGCAGCTGCAGGAGGGCCAGGGCCGATGTGCCCCGGCGGGCAGGGAGACGACGGGGCTGTGATACCACCGGGGCCCAGGAGACAGCCTGTCCGGGGAAGACGGGGACGTTCACAGTGGGGAAGGGAGCAGAAATCTCCCCGGGATGGAAGGGACACAGGACTGTGCTGCGTGACGGGTGCCTGGACCCGGACAACCCAGCAGCCGCGTGACCAGGGCGCAGGGCATCACGGTGGCCACCAGGGAGCACGGGGTTGCCCAGGGCACTGCGGGCTGCTGCTTGCCACCCGAGGACGGCCGCTCGGCTCTCGGCCACCCGCCGCCCAGCAGGACACCCCCTCGTTCCCCTCGTGACACCCGGGAAGCTGCCTCACAGGAGGCGTCCCCGGGGCCCAGCTTACCCTGCTGGCATAAAATAAAATGAAAAAACAAGCGAACAAAGCGAGGAAAGCGAGAGGCGTGGCCCGGGAGTTCACCCGCACGACAAGCCCTCAGCCCCACGTCGGGCGGCTCCTTCGGACCCTGGGTCTCCGCGGCGGCTCCTCATCGCAGGCCGGGCCGGCCCCGGGGGCCTCAGTGCCCGCCCCGACCCTGATCCGGAGCAGCAGGGGGCCAGGCGGTCGTCAGCACGGCCCGGAGACAGGCAGGCGGAGAACCCCGGAGGCCCAGGTGAGCCCGCGGGGCGGCCCAGGTGAGGCTCCGGGCTCCATGCGCCCCCCCAGGACCCTGCTCCCCCTCGTGGGCCCGATGGGGCCTCTGGGGCTGCCACCACGGGGACGGCGGCATGGAGCCTGGACGGGCGGAGGAGACGGGGGGGGGGGCTGGAACGGGCTGCAGGGGGTCTGGAGGGGGGCCGGAGGGGGGCTGGAGTGGGGCTGGAGGGGCCGGGGGGCCGGAGGGGGGCTGGAGCAGAGCTGTGCCGCTGCGTGCCAACAAACACGGTCTCTTTTCTTTTTTTACAGAACAAAGTAGGTCGATTATATTTTCAGGTGTTTATTTTTCAGCATCACCTTAGTGTCAGGTGTCCAGTACGTGACTCCCGCTTGCAGCCACCACCCTGTGCTCTGCCCGAGGGGCCCCCTCACCTGTGTGAGCACGGCGTCTCCTCCGGGAAGCCTTTCCCTCCCCGGCCCCGTGGCCCCCGTGTCCCCGTGTCCCCCCCACGTCACCCAGGGGGGTGGTTTCCTCACGGCAGCGGCTCTAACGGCACTTTGTACACGTCTCTAAACTGACCCTGCACAACCTCCATCCGGCCGCCCATCAGGTCACGCTGAGGTGTAGGGGTCCCCCCTGGACTCCCACGTTCAGGGCTTGGGGCCCAGTCGCTCTCCTACGGGGCCACAGCCACCAGGTCCCCAATTCACAGTCACCTTGAAGAGCGAGCGCGGCCTGCAGATGCAGATGGTCGGGGACACTGGGGCCATCGGGGGATTTCAGAGACCTCCCGGGGGAGACGTGGAGGCCACCTGCAGAGCGGAACAGTAAGGCCTTGCCGCCCACCTGCCGGGCACCGAGTCAGCCCTGGGCCTCCCAGTGGTGACCCCTCAAAGCCCCCCGAGCTCCGGGTGCTCCCCACGTACATACAAGGCATCCGCCCATCAGGTCACCCACCTATAGGTGCGAGAGGACGGTGTACACGTGGGCAGGCGGCCGCCACCAAAGCTCTCATTGCCCACATGCACGTGGTCCTGCCTCCTAGTGAGGCGCTGCATCGGGCCCCCAAATCCGCAGGCCGAAGCCCAACTCTGGGTCTCCCCCGAGACGGACTATGTTTGGAGGAAGATCTTCAGGGAAATATTTAAGTAAATGGAGCCTTTCGGGTGGGCCCTGCCCCAGTCTGGCAGGTGTCCTCATACAGAGAGAACGTTTGGACACACACAGAGACGGATGCAGAGAAGGCAGCGACAGGGCCGCCATCGGCCACCCTCCGTGGGCCGTCCCCCTCCAGGGACCTGACAAAACCAATCCCTGTGCCTCAGGCCGCTCAGCCTGTGGCTCTCGGTGGTGAGAACGTGCAGACGAACGCCGGCGGTCAGAGCTGTGAAGACTGGACCCACGAGGGACGCGTGAGTGTGGAGGGCCCGCAGGCAGCCTTCCCCAGACCAGGCCGCCGGTCCCACGCCCAGCGGGCCACCCGGCCGCGGTTCCCGGAAGGCCCAGCGCTCCTGGGCACTTCTCCCCAGGGCTCCCCGGTGCCCTGCCCCGGGTCACCCAGCCCGGGTGGTGGGAGGGCGGTGGCGGGCCCTCCACGGGGTGTCCGGGCTCGGGCTGCAGCTGTCACGCCGAGAACCGTGGGCTCGAGCGGGGGGTGGCCTCCCGGGCGGGACCCCCTCTCGGCTCCCTCATCCCCGCCGAGCCCTTCATACTTTAATGAGATTAATTTCCAACTCAACCGTTTGTCCTCCGATTCGTTTATCCCTTTGCCATCTGGTCTCCTTATGCTCCCACGTAAGCTAGTGGCTCTCTTTGTCTCAGTAGATTTGTCAATAGTTTATGATTTTTGTCGTCATAATCATAATATTTATTTTTCACAGCAGACAAACTCTTCTGGAGACTTGGAAAAAGGAGATTCCCGCCCCCAACCCCCACCCCCGCTGGGGCCCCAACCCCACCATTTCTCTTTACCCTGAAATGTTTGTTTCTGGGACAAGTGGTTTTTAAAATAAAGTGTTAAATAAAAGCCAATGAGCAAGACCTCCCGAAGCAGCCTAGGACCCCTTCTCCTTGCTTCTCGCCCAGACCCAGTAGGTACTTAAGGAGCCACCGGGGGCGGCCGGCCTGGCAGCGGCGGTGCCCAGGGCTGCACCGGGCTCCACACTCAGCCCGGGTCACCCCCCGAGCTCCCAACTTTTGGTTTTCAGCACCTGCGACCGCGTCCGCAGCGAAGCCCCATTTTACAGATCAGTAGGTGAAGGCCCACAGGAGCCCAATAAATTGGCCTGAAGGCGGAACAGAGCAGAAATAAAGGAGCGCCTCCCCATGGCTCGCCCCGGGTGTCGGATTGAGAACGGATTCTTTTTTTTTTTTTAATTTTTATTTATTTATGATAGTCACACACACAGATAGAGAGAGAGAGGCAGAGACACAGGCAGAGGGAGAAGCAGGCTCCATGCACCGGAAGCCCGACGTGGGACTCGATCCCGGGTCTCCAGGATCGCGCCCTGGGCCAAAGGCAGGCGCCAAACCGCCGCGCCACCCAGGGATCCCTGAAAGCGGATTCTTTTGATCCTGCCTCCCCTCAGGCTTCCCATCAGCCTCGCCTTACTCAGGAGAGCTGTGCTGATCACCATGCGCGACCCTAACCTCCCCCAGGCGGATGCGCGGCCTCCACTAGCGCCCCTAACCTGACGCCACAGGCCCCAGCGCAGGTGCATCCCATGGTCTTTAGTCTTAATAGCAACAGAAGGCAGGGCGCCGAGTGTCCCGCGGCCTGGAGGGCGGGGGCCGGGGGCTGACCCGGGGCGGGTGTGGTGGGCGCCCCAGGCTGCGGGGACACAGCTCGCCCCCGGGGCTCGCGGAGACCCGGGCCCGCCCCGCCTGTAGGTGCGGCTCCCCGCTCCGGGGAGAGCGGCGGCTCCTGGGCGCACACGCACGCTCGCCCACACGCCACTCGCGGCCTCCGAGCGCGGACCGGCGCCGGCTCAGCGCCCACCCGGGAGCGCGCCCGCGAGCATCACCTGACGCCGCCGCATCCCCGCCCGGCGCAGGTGCGCGCCTCCCCCACCCACGCCTCCCGCGCAGGCGCCGCCCCCGCCCCCGCCCCCCCCCCGCGCACACGCCCCGCTCCGCGCTCCCAGGAGCGCACGCGCACCCGCTCCCAGGCGCGCACCTGCACCCGCACCCGCTCCCAGGCGCGCACCTGCACCACACCCGCTCCCAGGCGCGCACCTGCACCTGCACCCGCACCCGCTCCTAGGCGCGCACCTGCACCTGCACCCGCTCCCGCTCCTAGGCGCGCACCTGCACCTGCACCCGCTCCCGCTCCTAGGCGCGCACGCGCACCCGCCCCCGCTCCCAGGCGTGCACCTGCACCCACACCCGCTCCCAGGCGCGCACCTGCAGCCGCACCCGCTCCTAGGCGCGCACTTGCACCCGCACTCGCTCCTAGGCGCGCACCTGCACCCGCACCCGCTCCCAGGCGAACACCTGCACCTGCACCCGCTCCCTGGCGCGCACCTGCAACCGCACCCGCTCCCAGGCGCGCACCTGCACCCTCAAACACGCCCCGCTCCCAGGCGCGCCCACGGCCCCGCGCACACGCATCTGCTCCCCGCGCCCCCTTACGCGCCCCCGCTCCCCGTGCACACACGCGCCCTCGCGCCCACGGAGCCGCACCCAGGCGGCCCCCGCCCCCGCCCCGCCCCCCCCGCGCACGCGCACGCGCACAGCCCGAGCGGGAGGGCGCGGCCGGGAGAGGGCGCGGCGCCGGCGGGGCGGAGGCGGAGGCGGAGGCGGCGGAGGCGGAGGCGGAGGCGGCGGAGGCGGCGGCCGAGCCCGAGCCCCAGCGCGAGCGGCTCGGAGGGAGCCGGGGAGCCGGGGGAGCCGCAGCGGGAGCCGGCCGGGGGGCGCGGGGGCGCGCCATGGAGCCGCAGACGGGCGGCGGCGAGGAGGACGACTGCGTGGACTCGGGCGCCGAGACCGGAGGGTGAGCCGGGCGGGGGGCGCCCCGAGCCCCCGAGCCCCCGAGTCCCCGCGGCGCCCCGGCCGTGCCTCCCGGACCCCGCGGCCGAGCGCGGCGGGGAGGGGCCCCGGGGGTCCCCGCGGAGGGCAGGGCGGCGTGGTCGGGGGCCGGGCCCGGGGGGGGCGCCCACAGGACCCCCCAGGACCTCACTCCGGGGGGGCACCGGGCGCCCACAGCTCTGTGGCTCATCCAGGGCGATGACCTTTCTCATCTGGAGCCTTCCTTGCGCTCGCGCTCAGCTCCTACCTCCGCGCCTAACTCGTGTGCGCACCTGTGCCGGCCTGGGGCCAGGTGGGAGGACGCCGTGAGGTAGCCCCGCTTGCAGAGGTGGCCTCGAGGCTCCGGCTCCGGCGGACACAGGCGGCCCAAACTTTACCCTGGGGCCAAACCAGCCTCCTCCCAACGACACCATCTTCCTCAAGCGGGACAAAAGACCCGGCAGCATTTAGGAGATGACTGTCCTTGCAAAAGCTTGCACCGGGCCCCTATCTCTAGAGGATTTCCCTGTGCGGCGTCAGCAAACGTCCAGGATGCGGGTACTTCCAGGAGGAAAGGGTGTCCTTTCCCATCTGGTGAACCCCGGGGGTGGACCGGAGCTGCGCACATCAGGGAAAGCCTCGTCCCTGGAAAGTTGGGGAGATTTAGACTAATCTCGGGGCGTGGCAGCCCTGGGACAGGTTGGGTGTCCAAGGCCAGAATGGGCACAAGGGGCTGCCCCTGAGAAAGGCTCCCAGGGGGTCCCTGCAGCCCGCACCCACTCCTCGCCCGGGTCTGGGACTTTACACCCCGCAGCAGGTACTCCGCAGCGGGCTCTCGCTGCCGTTGGAACTTGTGCTTGTTTAAGGTTCACCGTAGAACCCCGTTACACCCTGGTGGGGTGACCTGATTCCAGATAGAACTCCCTTGTTCCTGCCCCACACTGGGTGCGTGCAGCATCTATCAACTGTAATTGAAGATCCCTGATTTTTATCCCCCCACCCCACCCCCTTTTAACCCGCCTTCCCGGTTACTTAGGCCACGAGTAGAAGAAACCAAGCAAAACTCGCCAGCTCACTTGTAGCTGGGTTCATCAAGGCACCAACAGGTCCGTTCGTTTTCACTTTGTGGAGCTCACCTAAAACAGGTGTTTTTTCCCCAAGGATTCTCTCCTGGAGAAGTGGAGGGGAAGCCCCGACCCAGGGCGGTACCCTGGGCTCCCAGGGCAAAGCATGACAGCAGCCAGGGCTGCCGGGAGGGGCTTGCTGACCGTACGGACACCAGGGTGCTCTTCACTGCCTCTGTCACCAGAACGTATAGGCGTGACGGGATGGAAGCGGTTAAAGAGTTATCAAAAAGCCGTTCATAGTTTCCCTGCTTTTCCAGGACTCACCCCCAGGTTTCGTAGAGCTGTCTGTCCAGACTTAATACTTGTTTGCTATCGTTATTTTTATCTACTTAAGATTTTTTGATTTTTATTTACTCATGAGAGATGCAGAGAGAGAGGCAGAGACACAGGCAGAGGGAGAAGCAGGCTCCCTGCAGGGACCCCGATGCAAGACTCGATCCCGGGACCCCTGAGTCGAAGGCAGATGCTCAACCACTGGGCCACCCAGGCGTCCCTCATTATTATTTTTAAAATACAAATCTGATCATGTCTCTCCGCCTTCCAGACTTTTAGTGGCTGTGTCCGCTCTAACATACAAAGAGCTTAGAGTGGCCCTACAGGCCCCAATGTTATAGGGTCCCCCCGTGCGTCTGTGGCTTTGTTCCTCGGCAGGTGCATCCTCGGACCCTTGGACATCAAGCCACATCAGCAAGGTGTTTCCGATCCTTTGCCTTTGTCGTGCCACCCCTTTTGCCAGCTGTGCCCTTCTCCACCTGGCATGCCTGTCCACCGGTGACACTCTATCTTCTTTCAGAACTCGGCTCAAGTGACACATCTGCTGAGGCAGGGACCCTAAGTTTGAGGTCCACGAAGGGCTTGAAGTCGTAGGCAAAATGATGTTCTTTGTGAATTTTTGTGAGAAAAGACTGATTTTTTCATCCACATTCTCCAAGTAGCCTGTGGTCCCCCCGAAACCAAGTTTGGGCAGGGGAGGAGAAGCTCCATTTTCAACACGTTGTGTCTGAGGTATTGGGAGACAGCCAAGGAAGGATGCGCCGAGCCAGCGGTTGGGTAGATCTAGCTGGGGAGGAGGTCGGCGTGATGACATCACATTTGGGAACCATCAGCCTAAAAATGGCAGTTGCCGCCCTAGGAGTGGGTTAAATTGACTAAAGGTAATAAATAGCAAACACCGAGCATTTTCTCCGGGCCAGGGCCGCGGACTGTCCTGAGCCTTTACTAGTCCATTAAGTCAGTTGACCCTTCAACACCTGACAAGTAGGTGTGGCTTAAGACCAGCCTTGAGACAGGACAACACTTAAGTGCCAGGCGAAGGCGGAGGAGTTGATAAAGGGGCCTGAGAAAAAGCGGACACGGACACAGAAGGAAGAACCTGGTGTCCTCGAAGGCGAGGTGGGGGGCACGGAAAGGCCTGGGCTGTGAGAAACCCCGCTTGGATGAAGGAACGTAGACGGAGGTGGTGGAGGAGACGTGCAGGCGGAAGGCAGATCCCCGGGCTCCAGGAAGGTGCGGAGTTTGTGGTGGAGGAAGCTAGAGCCCTTTGTCTGGGAAGGGACGGGTGAGGAGAGGCAGTAGCCGGAGGGGAGGGGAGGGGAGGGTGGGCTGCAGGAAGGATTCCCAAGGCGAGCAAAGAGGTGCTCCTAGAAGAGACTCTATAAAAAGGGAAAGGATGAAGATCTAGGAGAAGAACGTGGTTTGCAGAGTCCGCTTGCTGAAGAGGTGGAGGCAGAGGCTCCAGGCCTCTCGGTCAGACGGGCTTTGGGTGGAAAGAGGGACCTCCGCTCCCTGCAGCGTGGCGCGGCAGGTGGGGTTCCGTTCTGGGCAAACAGCTGCCTCCCCCAGGAAAGTGGGGACTGGAAATCGTTGTTTGGGGCAACGTTGGCCGAGAACCCAGCTGAGATTAGTGACGGTGAACGTGTGAAGGGCCCCGTCTCCGTGCTGTATGGCCTCCTGCCGCCGCGCTCAGCTCCTTCGGGGCGGGCACAGGGAGACGGCGAGGGTTGAGAGCATCGCATCAAGGTTTGGGGGAGGGGGACTATTATTGCCGAGCAGGTGTGAACGAGACATAGGAGCGGGGGATGGGGTCGTGTGGAGCTGACCGTGGATCCTTCCGGCAGCACGCTCAGAGAAGGTGCTAAGAACCTTTGTGGGTCCCGCCGCCAGGGGCAGGGGGTGTTGACTGCTTCGAAAGGGACGATCAAGAGAGCCAGGCTGCTGGGGTTCCGCTCCGTGCTCTGAGTTTTCTATGGGATGACAGCAGTCGTACCCACCCCACGGCGTGGTTGTGAGAATTCAGTGAATCTATGCATTTAAAGCTCCTAGAACAGTGCCCGGCATACGTGAACCCTCTGTACATGATTCCCCATCATGCTATTGATATCAGTGTGAAGAACACGCCAGATGATAACCTGGAGTTTTCTAAAATAAAAATGTGTATTTCCAGGTACGCTCAGGATCCCATGTTCTTTTTTTTTTTTTTTTTTGGATCCCATGTTCTTTATAGTCATCGCAGCAGATGCTCTGATGTTTTCAGTTTGATCAGCGTTCAGAGCATCTGCAGGACGATAGGACACGTCCCAATATTATTATTTTACGGATGAGGAAACGGAGGTTCAGCGGGTCATGACGAGTTCGTGGCCCAAATTGAAGCCTAAGTCTCCGGCGTGCTTTCCACCTAGCGAAGTTGCCTCTCCGAGAGCCGTTGATCGGCAGTTAATTCTTGTCTCCTGCTCAGACGTTTTTCTTTTGCTTGAAATGCCATGTTTGCCGTCTGACCCACCTAGTGCGGGCCAAGCTAAGAGCAAACTAGTATTCTTCTGGGGCAGTTGATGCTATTTTGAAGCTCCCCTTTTCCAAATGCACTGAAGGCAAGCTTTTTTTTTTTTCTTTTTAAGATTTTATTTATTTATTCATGAGAGACGCAGGCAGAGGGAGAAGCAGGCTCCGTGCAGGGAGCCCGATGCGGGACTCGATCCTGGGACCCCGGGGTCACGGCCTGAGCCCGAGGCAGACGCTCAACCCTTGAGCCACCCAAGGATCCCTGAAGGCAAGCTTTGTGCTTCTGTGTATTTCTTCATTAGGAAAAGCTGGCCAGCCAGCTACCGACCATGATAAACTATCTCAAGAAACAAAACCCCTTAACAGAGGGACAGGCGGTGGTGTTGCAGACCAAAATAAAAGACATCAAGTAAGATGAGTGCTTTTTAGCGGGTGTTTCATTAGTGAGGTCTCCCAGATACGGTGTCTGAGCCACTCTTTCTAATATGACCATATCTGATGGATGCATGAATTTAATTTAGAAGTTTGATCTGGCACTAATGAACCCCCACGTCCATGTCACCCGTCACTGAGCTTCTGAAAACACAGCCCCCCCCCCCCGTACCCTTTGGGTGACCTCCGATTGATACTTCACTGTGATTTAGAGATGGCAAACAATTCACAGGTCTGGCGTTTATTAGCAGGAGAATGGAAAAGAATGGGGGGGGGCATAAATTTGAAGATGGGACAGGTTAGGAGAACAGTAAAAGGGGAAATCTGGCAGAGGAGACAGGATGATCTATTAGGTACTGTATTATCTCTGTGTTCGAGGTGGAGCTAGTTAGCTCTCGATTGCCATGGACTGAGAGTTAACAGATGGGGTCCATGATGCATCGAGCTGATGTTTTACAGAAATGTCAAGATCAATATTACGGAAATGCCAAGATCAATTCTTATGCCAAGATTTTCCTGGAAAAGAGAATTTAAGAAGGTATCCCATATATGTGTTCATACATACACATGGGCAAGTAGGTGCTACAGTGACGGACTGTTTAAGTGCAGACCCCTTTATACTTAACCCTTACGTGTATAATTGTAGTTAAAATACCGCCAGGGGCCTGTGTCTAACTCTTTGGTCATGGTTGGCACAGATACCAAATAAATGTAATATTTGTAGGTGTGTCTCTGTGTCAGGTGTGTGAATATATATGATCCTTGCATTATTCTGCTTATCTGTATCATGTGCCCATACATCTTTTCTTCCTAAAATTAATGGATTCACCTCTCGTGCAGAGCTGAATGTCCTGTTCAGAGCTAGGTGGTAAACTCTTAGGATGTAAGACCAGTAAATAGGATTCACAAGGCAGTATCCTATTGCTGTTCCCTCCTATCCTAAAAAAAAAAAAAAAGGCTGGAGATCTTGCACCCCTCCAGACACCTGTAGTCAATATCTGAAATTATTTGGACCTGTTGAAGCACAAAATTATTTTAAGCTTTATAGCTTGTCTTTCGCCAGCAATATTTCCGGTAAATAATCTCTTGGAGCCCTTTGGAATGTATCTTATGAGCTATACAAGTGTTTGTACCTTAACTCAGCTCCTATCTCCCCTCGTGATAATTTTCCTAAGGAACAGGAGCTGAAATATCCAGCTGTACGTATAAGTATCTCGTCGTCATGTGGTTTGCGGAGGTGAACAATCAGAAACGACCATATAGCAGACAAAAGGCAAATGGTGCACATGGTGACGCGATGCACTACAGTCCATCACTTTGTCTAAAATCATAATTACATAAAAAAATAAAATAGAATTGTAATTACATAGTAGCACGTTGTATCTCCGTCATGATGGCAACTGTGGACAAGTCGCATAAGCAGGATCAGAGGCTGGAAAGCAGTGTAAGGTTTTAGGGGACTTTTCCGTTTGATTTCCGTTTTGATGGTGGACGGGGATGGCAGGTGGGGTGATGGATGAGACTGCGGAGCTAGGCAGAGGCCATCATTCACGGAAAGAGGGGTTTATGTTGTGCACTGCCGAGCTTGAACTTCATCCAGAGAGTGACACGGTCGGGTTTGCGCTTTGCAAAGATTGGCTGCTGTTTGGAGAAGGAACTGGAGCAGGGCGAGAGTGACAGTCGGGAGCCCGGGCCGCTGGCAGGCCTCACCCCGGCAGCGCCTTTCGTCCCAGGAAACACGTACGGAGAGAGGCGCGGCAGGGACGTGCGTTTTGCTCGCACCTGTCCCAGAACACGGCGGTTACACCTTAGGATTCTCAAATTCGGTCTCACGCATAAATTTCCTTCTGCGTTCGTATCCATCTGCGTGCGGATCCGTGCAGCGTCTGCATTTGCGAAACCCGTCTGCCTCGGGGACGTCTGGAAGATCCTAGCTGAAAAGACAGATTTCTAATAATAAAATGAATAGTCCCATCACACGTTCCCGTTGAACGTTGTCTTTGATTTGTCACGGAATGTCCTTAAAGCCTGGCCGCCTTGTTAAGATGCTCCTGCGGGATTGTTGTGTTGTTGTATCTGCCACAGTGGCTGCTCCTGGAGCACCTGTTACATTCGTTCACAGCCACATTTCTAAGTTTTGTCCTAAAGTCAATTTGTGTCCTGCCTGGTCTCAGGCAGAATTGAATGCACCAACGCGAGGGGCTCCTGACTGCCCCTTCTCGCATCCCGGTCCCCGAGCCAGCACGTCACCACGTTCCAGCCAATGCTTGTCCCTTCTGGCTCCGGCCTTGCGGGGGGGGGGGGGCCTGCGCTCCTACCGCAGGTCCTCGTTGCCATTTGCCTCCCGGTCTCCTCGCCGGTAGCATCGCTTTCGTTTCCTAACCAATAGCGTGGGAAGGTGGACGGGATGGGCGCTGGGTGTCATGCTACATGTTGCCAAATTGAATTCTGATTAAAAAAAATATACAAAAAATTAATTAATTTTCAAAATTAAAAAAAAAGAAAAGAAGGTGGATTCGGCGTAGGTGGACGCAGTCCGTGACGCATAGGGGGTGTGCAAATGTTAATAGTTGCTCCTCTCTCCGGCCCGAGGCGTCCGTGACTCTGCAGCTACCGAAGCATTTCGTTTGAAAGAGAGAACTTCCTGCTGTTTTCCTTCCATTTTGTTCCTCCACCGATCCATGCATCACTTTGTGTGAGCGGTGTAGGCTATTTCAACCAGTAAGAGTTGTGCTTTCGATGATTTTTTTTTTGAAGTTTCGTATAGACTTTTGTGGTAACAGTCCGCAGAGTGAAAATGGGATGATTTAAGGAAGGGCGCCAGGAGGCTGAGTAGCTAAAAGGAGCGTGTATATATATACACGGGGAGAATTAACCAGAATCGAGGGCTTTATTTGCATGAGCATATCCCCTGACTACCACCTTGCGGAATGCATCCCTACGTGCCCGAGAGATTAATTCCCTCCTGGGAATGACTTCGGCCGCTGGAGGGAGGGAGCGAGAGGAGGGAGGGCTTCCCAGCCGCACAAGGAGAGCACAGACTCGGGGACATGAGGCAGGCAGCTCCCTGGCCAGATGCCCGTTCTCACAGAGGCGGGGGCCCGCGGCTGGCTGCTCAGCCTGGAAACCGATGGGTGGTTTCACCCCTTGTCCTAACCCTGCCTGTTTCCCCGTCCCTGTCACAGCACACATCCTGTCACTGTGAATATGCAGCAGGATGTCTTCTCCGCTGGATCTGAGACCCGTCAAACCCCACAGTGCCCCAGTGCTTCCCGGTGGCTAGCGGGGACCCCCCCCGAGCCGGGGGCCCATCACTGCCCTGCCCGGGGTCGGCAGAGAAACATTTCCCCGTGACGCGGTGCCAACCTGAGGGGTGCCCTCGCTTGCAGCGGCTGCTTCACCTTTTTGGGGAGTCGTGACGGTGGCCTTCAAGAATCTGCTGAAAACTCTGTCTTCTCCCCAAAAGAATAAGCTTCCCTTCAAAGATTTGCCGGTGAATTTACATGGTTTGGGATCCAGCTGGCTTCCCATCTTGGAGACTCACAGAGCCCATAGGGGGGACCCCTGATTTCTTTTTTTCTTTAAAGCTTGCCCTTCAGATTCAGACACGCCTTCGTGTTGCACGAGAGCCCTCGGTTCTTAATTTGGTGGGAGGTCCTTACCATGTAAATGCTGCTTACCACGGACTGTGTTTAAAATTCTAGCTTGAAGAAATCATGTGGATACAGAAAAATCGTGTGTAATGCGACTAATACGAAGGTCTTGTGTTTCAGGTCTGACTACAGCCACATGTCCTCCACCAGCAGTAAGTATATGGCTTAAATGTCCTTCAGCGCTGGCTTCTCGGTCCCATCTCCCAGGAATTTGGGGCTTTTCCCGGAGAGTTTAACTGTCCCTTGATTTCAGAATTCAGTACGCCACTACTTTCCCCGTGGAAACCGAGCATAGGGGAACTAGCCCAGGCTTCGTTAGGATAGATGCTCCTACAAGAGCTTCTCTGAACAATGGGAGGTTTCTCATTCATTCAACAAACACGTATCAAATACCTGCTGCCCGCGGGGCTCACAGCTCAGAGCACATCCATTAGACCCATGGGTGGCCCCAGGTCATCTTTAGGGCCTTGTATTTCTGCGTCATAGGTGATTATCAGATACGGTAAAAAAAAAAATCAAAAAATTAAAAAAAAATAAAAAAAGAGGTGATTAGGAATATGTTCATAAACATCCTGCAAGCCTGGAAAAAGATGCCTGTATTAAATACTAATTGACAAGTAAATCTGTTCATGGGCAATGAGGCCTTCTATCTAGGAACAGTTTGCAGTGATTAAGATCACTGTGTAAATGACCAAAGCCATTCAGGTTAACTAAACACCTATTTTAAAATAACCACACACACACAAAAAAATTGTCTTACAATAAAAGACCTGGTTATGTGAATCAGTAAATACTGAATTGCTTTTTTTTTTTCCCTATCTTCCCTGTGAAACTCCCCGTTCTAAATAGTACCCAAATGGAGAGACACTTAATTGGATTATTCTGTGTATTAATGTTCTGGCTTAGTTTTCCTTTGCAATAAGAGACTGTGCAGAAAGCCGTATTTCTGGAATTGTAATTTAGTGTCAAATTATATTTAGTTATTAGTATAACTGCTGCGAGTAATCTCTGATCATTTCAGCCAACTAGAGACCCAGCATTGCCCCTTAGATATTAAGAACCGTTAGTGATAATGAGAATAATGCTCCGGTGATTCGCGTTCCCTCCCTGAAGCTTCTGCGTTCCTAAAAAATCAGGGAAAGCTCCCTTGAACTCTCTCTCCCCGCTGCCGTTTTCATTCCACTCCGTGTTGCCCAGAAGCTACATTTCTTTAAGAACGATTCTTACGAAATACTTGCCCAGAGCCTTTGCTCCATTTGTAGCTCTCACGTCAGTCCTCTGGGTCACAACAAAGCACCTCCCTTGTCAGCGAAACCGGTAATTCGGTTTGGGAGGTTTTCCTCTCCCTTATTTTAATTGCGGTCTGGAGTTGGAATTCCTCTTAGGGATCAGTAGCCTTTTATTGCTCTTCCTTTTCTCTTTAAATCTTTGGCGACTCCTGCATCAGCCGTCGGTGCTGGGACCTCTTGGTAAGCGGGGATGTCCCTGTGTTTCACATTTGAGTTAGGAAATGTGTTTGGCGATAAATAGTAGAGGAAAAAATAATGACTTGAGTAGGCGTTTGTTCTTCTTTAATGTTAAAAAAAAAAAAAAGAACTCGGAGGGGGCAACGCAGGTCTGGTCTGGAGGCTCCTTTCATCGTTCTGCTGGGCTTTGGCTTCTGCCTCAGGTCACAGAACGGCTGCCTGGCTGCAGGCGTCACAGCCTTGTGGGGCAGGACTCGGGGTGAGTGGGTTCCGCGGCCCCGTCGTTGCCTCGAGCTTGCCTGGCCTGCCTCTCCTCCGAGCCGGGAGGTGAATCCCGACCGCGCCCGGTGGGGGAGGCCCTGCCGCAGTCCGTGAACGGGCACACGGCGGACCCTTTCCAGAAAAGGAAAAAGAAATTAAGCCTGAGGTCTTGAGCTTCTCCTGCACAATGCAGGCGCGGCGGGGCTGCAGTAGGGAGGGTGTTTGCCACCCGCTTTTAAAAGGAGCGTTTCCCCGCAGACTGGCCGATGGCGCGGAGAGGGCCGCAGGGAGGCCGCTGGGCTTAGGGGTCCGGACGGGGTGGCTCTGGGCTCGGGGTCCTCGGCCGGGTCCCGGTCACCTCCCGGCCGCAGTGACCCCACTCCCAGCGCTGCCCGGGGAGCCCGGCCGTGGGTCTTGCCATCTGCCGTCGGGTCGGGAGGTGGCTTTGCTCGGCCACTGCCCTTCCCGCGGGGCCCCATGCAGTGTCCCCAGGAGCACCCTCGTGTCGCTGCCCTTCCGTCCTGCCCGCCTCGGTCCACCGGCCGACCTGAGGCTGCCAGGGCTGACAGCGTCTCCCCGGGGTTGTCTGCGAAACTAAAGACGCCGCGACACCGCCGTCTCGGTAAACGGCGACACGTCCAGAGATGGATTTAATGTCTACTCGCGGAATTTTTTAGGTGGTTTTCCCAGCAGCCTGGTTGGACGGTCATCAAGCCGCTACGTACGATTTGCGTTCTTAAGCGACTTAAATAAAAAGGAGAAATTTCATAAACAGGATGGAAGAAAAACAGCTGTTATGCCAGGGGGAGGAAAACCAACTGCGCCACGTCATGATCATGAAATTCCCGTCGCGGATGGACGTGCACACACAATAACAATGGGCCAAAGGGCTCTGAAGAGTAGATGACAGACAGGGACAAGCAGCTCGGAGCCTTGTGTGTGAGTCTCATGAAAAACGTGGTATCGATTCTACTCCGACGGGGACATTGGGCGGCAGCGCCAGCAGCAGAGGCCGTCAGCCTTTCCCACTCCCGTGGACAGTCCCTGTGTTTCGCCGCGTCCGTGCTGTTGCCATTAAATCCTGCCGAGGCGACGAGACGGGCGTATGTGGGGGGTACTGTGCAAAGAGCCAGGTCGCGGGCACGAAAGGTCGCAACATTCAGAATCGATTAGGAGAACCGAGGATCCCACCCGCCCGCCTGCCTGCCCTCCCCCTCGTCCACCGGACTTCTCCTTCAGACACACCCGGCGTCCTCTGACTTCCCTGCCAGGGCAGAGCCGTGCAGGCCGCGCCAGGAAGGCTCCGCTGCCCTCTGACGGGAGCGGCTGTGAGCCGCCGTCCCCTTATGCCCCACGGGGCCAGCTGGGTCCCTCCGTGACTCATTTGTACCGGTTCACGGCTCGGGCTGCAGCGCCAGGTCACCTGGGCCCAGACGCTGGGCGTGCCCTCCCGTGCCCCGGCGTGCTCGTGGAGCCGTGTTCTCACACCGGCTGCGGCCCGCGGCGGACGCTGTGCCCACGTCCCACGACGGCGAGTAGGGCTCTCACGTCTGCAGTCAAGCTGCCCGTGGCTCTGGGACCGTCGTACCCGCAGCGCCCGGCCCGCGGGGGTTCGCACGTGACCCCTTCCGGGAGCCCTTGCGGCGGGCGTGCAGACTTCGCTGGGTGCCCTCCCGTCGCCTGCCTTCCGCCCGAAGCCCAAAGTTGGCGCCTCCTGAGCCGGAACGGCCGCCCGCAGCGTGATTCTCGGGGCAAGGCCCCGCTTTAAGGCGTCAGCCTTTCTGAGCTCAGAGGCCTTTGCTGCCTCCAGAGCCTCAGCCCTTGCCCTGGAGGGCCTTGCCCTTCACACTCTTCCCTGCTGTGATGGGAAGACATACACGGATCCAGAGACACGGATCTCTGCCCCGACGTCCCCTGCAGCCGTGAACGGCCCAGACCCTGCAGGTGGGGCGCCACAAGGCAGTGAGAACGTCGTGGGACGGCGGCCCTTGGTGGTCCCCTCGGACGTTCGTCGGCTACGTTGCTTGGAGCATCCCTCCTACTGTAGGTGTGTCTCACGTGTGCACGGCTTGCTCCCCCGGGGCGTGGGCTCTGGAAGGGCCTCGGTCTCCTGCTTCGCAGTCCCTGGGTATTAGGAGGCCGCGCTGCACAGGGAAGGGAGGAGAGCCCGGAACTGGGAACTTGGAGATGTTTGCTCTCTTTCTAGACCTGCAATGAGTCGCCGGGTGACTCGAGCGGTCGCCAGACCTCAGCCATGACATGGAGGCTGGACGAAGCGTCTCCCCCACCTTTAATTTTCCAGTCATTTCCAGGACGCTTGCTCTCGAAAGGGCTAGAAGGTTCATAATTTCTAAGGGAGTGGGAACAAGGACCAGGAACATGTCGGTGTCCTATTCAGACCGGTCAAGCATTTTTTTTTTCGGTCAAGCATTTGAATATTTTATTGAATTTTAAGCAAAAAAAAAAAAAAAGTGTTCAGAGGCTCCATTTCCTCCACCGCTAGTTTGATCACGAGCAAAGCCCGTGCCGCGTCTCATCGCTGGCTCCTGCAGGGGCGCTCGGGAGACATTTTGTCAGCAAACGGTGATAATGGCTCGTCGTCGTTTGATTTCTCAACATCCTGCCAGAAAAGTCCTTTTTGTAAAATAAATCTTAATTACTACAATTGGGAGGATTCCTCCCAGCAGCTCTGGTCGATGGTCGAGGTCTTGGGCTCGTTGCTGGACAAATCCTCGGGGTGGATTTTTGTTGCCATCCTCCTCTCTTGTCTGTCTTGGTAGATGCACGTTACGTCTCAAAAACAAAATGCATCTTCTCCTCCTGTTGTTTGCAAGCCCTGCGGCCCCGTCCCCAAATCTGTAGAACTTTATGAAGTCCCGGCTTGACTTCGCTGCCGTGGAAATGACGGGATCCCGATGACGTGGTTGAGGAAGCCTGGAAATTCCCGAGTAGAAGCAAGGGTCTGTGTAAAAGGTGGCAGCCCCCCCGTCCGTCTGAGCCCTTCGATGGACTTTATAAAAGCCGCTATCATGTTACTACGCGTTGGACTTTGGTGTTCACCGGACCTGTGCCACCGTCTCATAAAGCTTCAAGATCGGGATCCCTGGGGGGCGCAGCGGTTTGGCGCCTGCCTTGGCCCAGGGCGCGATCCTGGAGACCCGGGATCGAATCCCACGTCGGGCTCCCGATGCATGGAGCCTGCTTCTCCCTCTGCCTGTGTCTCTGCCTCTCTCTCTCTCTCTCTCTGTGACTATCGTAAATAAATAAAAATTTAAAAAAAATAAAAATAAAGCTTCAAGATCATTAGGGTCCCAAGGACTTCGATAGCTACGCCGCTCCGTTCCGTGCTTCTGGCTGCTTTTGTACCTTCTCGGGCTGATCACCTCTCCGCCTTCTGGTCCCCTTCCAGACACTGTGCCACGCGGGTCGGGACTCCACGCGTCTTGGTCCTGATGCTCCGGCGGCTGGCGGTTGGCCTTCGCTCCTCCTTCCTCTTCCCACCTGGAGGTCTGTCTCAGGATGGGACTTAGAAAGACGCACAAGATAAAAGGCACGTCCCGTATTCAAACGGGGAAGAAAAATAGGCGGAGGATCTCGAGCCCCGGCCGCCCTACGTTCTCTGTTAATTCCTTCCCTAATGGAGCCCTGGTTTCAGACGAGCTCTCGAGCACGTGTCGCACATCCCGGCGCCGCCGCGGGCTCTGCGACAGATGGCGGGGATGGGAAGCAGTCAGGGAACTCGAGTTGGAGCTTTAAAAAGGCCTGAGGATCAGAAAGATGCCTCGCTGGTTCCCTGTGCCAGGCGAAAGTACAGGCTTTGGCTTTGGCCACCTCAGCCCGTTCTGCATTCTTCAATGACAGGAGCGCGCCACGGATCCGGGCCGAGGAGGCCGTTTTTATCTCCACTGTGAGTGCAGCCTGAGTCCCTGGGCTCCGGCTCCGGCTCCGGCTCCGCACGCCAGCTTGTCGCCAGCACGTTCTCTCCGCGCCCACCCTGCATGTGCCCCTGCCTCCGGCTGGGGCTGGGCGGGCAGCAGGCTTCCAGGCACGCCCCGACTTGCAGGTCCATCAGAATCACAGAGTTACTAAGAATTGAGAAAGCTTGAGATTTTATCTTAGGTGCTGGCAGGGGCAAAGGGAATTGCTTGCATTTTTTTCATTAGTTCAAGGAAATAGCTTTAAGTATACATAGAGAGAGAGAGAGAGAGAGAGAGAGAGAGAGAGTGGGGCTTTAGAAATGCAAATAGGGCGTTTATGGGGCCTCAGGCCTGTGGACTTGGAGGATCTGAGCCAAGCACCAGCCGGATTCCCAGAACACCTGCACCTACGGCAGCTGGAAGTGCCCTGGGTCTGATACTTTTAACCTCCTGGAGGCTTCGGGGCGCGGGTGCTGCAGACGCATGGCCCTGGGAGGCCGCACGGCAGTCGGCTCAGTGGATGATGGGTGGTTATGGCTGCTGCCTGGACGCCTCGTGATGCGCCACGTTCAGTACGGGTCTGTCTTCACTTCGCTTATCCTCCGACTCCCCCACCGGATCCTAAGTTCTGGGAAGGCAGAGATTCCCCTGTCCCCCACTGGATCCTGCAGTGCCCCGCACGCAGTAGGTGCTCAATAAACAAAGAAATGACTGCAGCTGGATTGCAAATGGCCCGTCATAAATTGTGGGTAAAACAACAGAGGCAGCGCCCGCTGCCCGAAACCTCTAGAGAGAGGCACCTGAACTTGTGGTATCCTAGGACGTGGCCGGGCGTCACGTTCGGAACGAGAGATCTGGACTTCCGAGGAGACGCACCTGCCGCGGGGAAGCAGGTGCCTTGGGGACACGCAGCAGTTTGGCGGTTCTGGGAGGAGGGCCCGCCCGGTGGGCACGGCAAGGCTGGCGTGAGGCCCGGAGCGCGGGCAGGGGCAGTGAGGGGTCCCGGCCAGGCGGCACTGGGCCCGCCGGTGGGACGTGCGGCATCAGGACGTCTGGTCACAAGCAGCAGCACCTCCGTGTCCACCCCCACCTCTGCCAGACTGACGCTTCGGCTGTCCACGCGGGTCGGGGGCCTTAGAATCTAGCCACTGCCTAAAGTGCTACTCTCCTGTATTCCTTACAGCTCTTTTTTTAAAAAAGATTTTATTTACTTATTCATGAGAGACCCAGAGAGAGAGGCAGAGACCCAGGCAGAGGGAGAAGCAGGCTCCCTGGGGGCAGCCCGGTGCAGGACTCGATCCCGGGACCCGGGGTCACGCCCTGGGCCGAGGGCAGCCGCTCTGCCCCTGCTGCCCCCAGACACCCCCCTACTCTCTCTGTTGTACCGTGAGCAGCGTGCGTCCCCGGCCAGGGCTCGGTCGGGGTCAGCTGGGGACACGGCTGGTGCAGCGCCGAGCTTGAGGCATGGAGAAAGGGTTCCATGAACGTTTGTTGAATGAATGAGCAAAATAAACCCATGACTTGGGCAAATCCGAGGAGTGCAGGAGGATCGGGAACATCTGTGGGGTAAGGGGCTGCAGGTGGCTTCAGGGGACACGGAGTCTGTCTAAGGGCTGTGTCATCCCTTCCAGGCCTGCGGAGATTTCACTTTCTGCTGTCCTAGAGCACGCCCAGCCTGCTGAGCACTGGCTTCCCCTGCCCTGGGGTTGGGGGTCCCCCTGGAGCACAGGCCTCCCCTGCCCTGGGGTTGGGGGCTCCCCCCTGGAGCACAGGCCTCCCCTGCCCTGGGGGGCCCAGCCCTGCCCCCCCCGTTCCCCGGGTTTGGCTGACCGTAGTGCATGTGGGGTGGGTTTCGCAGGTGAGCTCGGGGTCAGGAGAACCCCGAGGATCCTGGTGGCGGCCCAGTGAGCGCTGAGCTTGCCTGTGCCCCCGGGACCCCCCGAAGGACATCGCGACCCTTTGCCTGTGTTGGGTTTCCTTGTCCCCCGCAGGCGAGCCGTCCCTGGAGGAGGCGCAGGACCCTTTCCTGGTGAGCATCCACATCATCGCGGACCCAGGGGAGTCGCAGGCGCTGCAGGAGGCCGTGGACAGGGTGCTGGCCTGGGTGCACCCCGACCTGCAGCTGTTCCGGGTGTCGGAGCGGAGGGCGTCCCGGCGGCGGCGCAGGGCCTGCAAGGGCGCGCGGCCGGCGCTGGCCGTGGTGCTCTTCCTGCAGGAGGAGTTCGGCGACGAGCAGATCCTGCACCTGCACCGCACGCTGCAGCGGCCGCCCTGGCGCCACCACCACACGGAGCGCGTGGCCGGCCGCCTGCGGCCCTACCTGCCCTGCAGCCAGGACTTCTTCTCGCTGGGCCCGGGGACGCCGCTGTGGGCCGTGCGGCCCGTGCACTACGGCCGGGAGATCGTGCGCTTCACCGTCTACTGCCGCCACCACAGCTACGCCGACAGCCTCCGGCTCTACGGGCTCATCCTGCGGCGCAGCCCCAGCCAGAGGAAGGCCGACTTCTGCGTCTTCCCCATCTTCTCCAACCTGGACGTGGACATCCAGTTCTCCCTGAAGAGGCTGCCCTGTGACCAGACGCCCGCGCCCGCCGACTCCGCCGTGCTGGAGTTCAGGGTCAGGGACATCGGGGAGCTCGTGCCCCTCTTGCCCAACCCCTGCAGCCCCATCAGCGAGGGGCGCTGGCAGACGGAGGACCTGGACGGGAACAAGATCCTCCTGCAGGTACGCGGGCGGACAGGTGCTGGGGCGGGGACCCCGGGGTTGGGGGTCGGGCCCGGAACCCCAGCTACCCCAGGACCTGGTGCCGGGCGACCAGGGAGGCGAGAGGAGGGATGCGTGGGGCCTGTCCGGCTCTGAGTCACGGTGGCCGTCGGCCGCCCCGGTCGTCCTCGCTTGGCCGCCGAGGCTGCGGGGCCTGGGGAGCACCTGCTGGCTCCTCTGCGGCCTCCGCCTGCTGTGGGAGCCTCCACCACCGCTGGTGGCTCCTGGGGATTCAGACCAGCTTCCATCCCCGGGGCCTTGTCACGTGGGATTCCGGGATCCCAGTCTCCCCGCCCACGCTCAGGGGGTTGTCACCTGCGCGCCCTTCACTTCCCCGGGGACCTCAGGAAAGCCCAGCCCTTGGGGAGCTGCAAGATATAGTGAGATTCCCGGGAGGAGACACCACGTCCCCCTTCCCTCTAGCGCTCCCCACCGTGCACCGCCCACCCTTCTACCCCGACGGCGTCAGCGGGGCGTTAAAAGCCAGTGATCGCTTAAAAAAGTACAGTCTGATAAGTGTTTTAAGAAGTAAGTGATGCCTTTTGGAATTCTTAGTTTCGTGAAGCTTGGGAAGGGGTAAGCGAATACTTTTTAGGGGAATGGTTAACCCTTCGCTCAGTTACGGGAGCTCTTTGCCCTCCCAGCCTCCCCCCGGTTGCCGGACACTCTTCCAGGATCACTAATTTTACTTGAGAATTTAAAATTCAGCACAGGGGGGATCCCTGGGGGGCTCAGTGGTGGAGCATCTACCTTGGGCGTGACCCCGGGGTCCCGGGTTCGAGTCCTGCGTCGGGCTCCCTGCAGGGAGCCTGCTTCTCCCTCTGCCTGTTCTCTGCCTCTCTCTGTCTCTCTATCATGAATACATAAATAAAATCTTAAAAAAAATAAAAAATAGAAATAAAATTCAGCACATAGACTTAAGCAAGTCCTACACCTGGCCCCACTGATAAACGCTTTCTAAACTCGGGCTTTCTGGGATTAATGTGTAAATCTGTTCCAGGTATATAGGACTTTTTTTTTTTTTTCCTGAAAAATCTCTGGCTCGGGCATCTGAGTTTTCCCGTGTGGCTACCTGGAAGGAGAAAGTTGACAGTGAGTTAGGGGCCGTCACCTCGAAAGGTGCCGACTGCAGTTGCTTCAGAGCCTTTCTTGCTTTTGACACCAGGAGTCAGAACCGTAATCCGCAGGTCACAAAATGAAGCGAGCATTTGGCACGTGCCCGGAAAACTTTTGTTAAAACTGCAGCCAGGCCGCCTCGCTGTGGTCAGAAAGGTCACCCCTGAGACGGTCCCTGTTCCTAGGACCCAGGTAACGCTGAGATCTTCCTTTGAACTACACAGATAAGAAAGTGAAGGAAATCGCCTTATTATGCAGGCGGCCGAAGGCGAGCTAGCACTTGCTCTATAGTCTCTTCCGAGTCGTGAGAGCAAAATTCTTCCGTGGCCGCAGACTGCCAAAGCCCTATGCAAGGTATAATGCAGTTGAATAGGTAAAAGTAAACGGACTTTTTTTTTTCTCTCTCTCTCTCTCTCTCTATACTAAAAGATCTAAATGGATGCGGTTGTTTTGAAGGGGCCTCTTCCTTTTTTTGGCCGTAATTAGAACACTTTTTCTCTCGAGGCCTGTAATAACCTAAGTGAAAGAACAGAGTATAAAAGACTCCTAAAAAAAAAAAAAAAGACCCCTAACTCTGGGAAACGAACTCAAGGTGGAAGAAGGGGAGGTGGGCGGGAGGTGGGGGTGACTGGGTGACGGGCACTGAGGGGGGCACTTGACGGGATGAGCACTGGGTGTTATGCTGTATGTTGGCAAATTGAACACCAATAAAAAATAAATTTATACAAATTTTTAAAAAATTAAAAAAAAAACAAAAGATAAGATAAAAACATAAAAGCTTGGCCGGGACCGTGCTCAAAGGAACCGTTGAAAGAGTATTTCGAAGAAGATTCACACGTGTAAATGGTTATAAAACCTGGACAGGTGCAGGCTTTTGAAGTTAGAGCATCAAAGTGTGAAAACAGTAAGAAAAACAGATTTGGGGGATCCCTGGGTGGCTCAGCGGTTTGGCACTTGCCTTCGGCCCAGGGCATGATCCTGGAGTCCCGGGATCGATTCCCGCGTCGGGCTCCCTGCGTGGAGCCTGCTTCTCCCTCTGCCTGTGTCTCTGCCTCTCCCTCTCTGTGTTTCTCATGAATAAATAAATAAAATCTTTAAAAGAAAAAGAAAAACAGATTTGTAACTTGGTCCCAGGAACGCGGGGCTCCGTCCCACGCATTGATATGTCGCGGGGGTCAATCAGTGTGAACGGAGACGGCCAGTAGCCCCGTCACGATGCTGGACCGTGGGCATCCGCACGGGTCACCGGGTCGGAGCCACTGCGGACGGCAGCCCCTCGCTCTCGCGGGAAATACGCTGGAAAAAAAAGCCTGTTTGCTTAAAAGCAAAAGTGTACGTCTCCGTCTTCAGCAAAATGAAGACATCTGAGTCACGGACAGGGATCCGGTTGAGAGGACGCCCTCTCCCCGCATCCCCCTTAGCGTGTATGTTTCCCAAACTGTATTTTCAATCATGATTTTTAACGTAAGTTGCTTTTGCTCGGCTGGGTGGAGCGTTATACGCTGGCACAGATCTCGGTTGGGTAGTTCTTAGGGGCTTTCTTCAACCATAACTGCGTTTTATTTCCTCATCCTGCCCCATTAACTATTCCAGACACCTCCCCACCCTGATTTAATTACTCTGGAGAACAAAAGATGAATGCCCCCCCCACCTCCGCCCGACTAGGGGAGCTACCCAGGTTTTTATTCATGTTTATTTTATTTATTTATTTATTTATTTTTTAAGATTTTATTTATTTATTCATGAGAGACACACAGAGAGAGGCAGAGACCCAGGCAGAGGGAGAAGCGGGCTCCACGCAGGGAGCCCGACGCGGGACTCGATCCCGGGACTCTGGGGTCACGCCCTGGGCTGAAGGCGGCGCCGGCGCCAAACCGCTGAGCCACCCGGGCTGCCCTACCCAGCTTTTCATAAGAATTTGGAATGTTTTTGACTGAGATCTGATAGGATGGAAAGAAAGACGTCCTCCTCCTGAAGCTCATCTCTCCCTCTTTCTTGGCACTTCCTGATGGGGGGGGAGGGAGGGAAGGGGAGGCAGGGGGGCTGCAAGCGTCGGAAGTTTCCCCAAGATCCCTCTGAAAAACACGTTCCTGGAAAATGTCATCGATGCTCGATGAGGGGCGGCAAGCGCAGCTTTCCGGAGTCGTGGTCCATGTTGCCTGAATCCTTCCGTGTCCCCTAGAGCTGAACTAACCTTGTGCCTCGGCCACCGCAGGTTTCCCTTTACTCTTCCCTGAAGGATGGTGTCAGTAATAGATGGAAAAGTGCGTACCTCGTAAATGCACAGCTCAACGAATTCTCACACACTGAACGTGTGTGTAAGCAGCTCCCAGATGAAGAAACAGGGCAGAGAAACCGAAGACAGGGCCTCTCCCCGGCTCCCGGGGCGTCCTGCCCTTAAAGGAACATATTCGTTACTCGATTTTGCACAAAAGGGGGAAGACGTACCCCATCAAGGAAATTGGGAATGTGGGTATGTTATCTCTTCTTTTTTGTACTTATAAGTAGATGTCACATTTTTAAAAGATTTCAGGGACGCCTGGGTGGCTCAGCGGTGGGGCTTGTGCCTTTGGCTCATGGTGTGACCCCGGGATCCGGGATCGAATCCCACGTCGGGCTCCTTGCAGGGAGCCTGCTTCTCCCTCTGCCTGGGTCTCTGCCGCCTCTCTCTCTGTCTCTCATGAATAGATAAAATCTTTTCTAAATAAATAAATAGATAAATAAATAAATAAATAAATATTTCAGATAGCTGACGATGATATATACCACACAAGAAGACCAATAAAAATAATTAGGCAGCAAAGGGATTTGAAGCAGATGGAATCTATTGATAGGAAAGTCGGATGAACCACAAAGGCCACATCCAGAATGCAGGCACTTCCCTTGCTGCGCTTAGAGCTAATTGGTAGCCACGAGCCACGTGCGGCCATTTACATTTAAATCTTGAATTCATTAAAATGCAAAAAATCCAGTTTCTCTGTCTCGCTAAAGGCATTTCAAGGACTCAGGGGCCACACGTGCCCAGCGGCCACCATACCCGATAGCTCAGGTCCAGAAAATTCCCATCGTCGCAGAGAGTTCTGCTGGACAACATTCTTCCGCAAGAAGCCACCCCCCCCCCGCCCCCCGGGTTTGACCCGAAGTTCTCCAGCAGCAGAAACAAAGTGTGAGGTCATCGGTGATGGGATCCGGCGTCCGCGAGGTAGGAATAAGCCGTGTTTAGGATGCACCAGAGCTCCTAAGTGCAGCAGGGCCTCAGCAAGCGCCCGCCCACGTGGTGCTGCAGAGGGGCCCCCGGGCGCCTCAAGCATCTTGCGGGAAAGAGCCACCGCACGGAGCCAGGGTGGGCAACAAAGTGGTCCCGCCTCCGCCGGGGACGCAGGGACTCAGCTACTCCAGGGGGGGGGGGGGTACATGGTCAGAGAGCCTCCCCCAACTTGTGTCTCTTAGGCCTTTGGGACATAGTAGCAGTGAGCTTGGCCCTGAATCCCCAGCCAACCGCCCGCCCGTGGCACACCTGTGCCGTGTAGCTGCTCAGGTGCCCAGTCCTAGGCCCCGCGCCCCCGCCCCTGCGCTGCGTGGAGGTCTCCTTGGGGAGCTCCCGGAATGGCCAGGGCACGCGCCTCGGGGGAAGGCCACCCGCCTCCTTTGGGGGAGGCCTGGCATGGGAGCCGAAGGCGGGCCGGAGCTCTCCTGAGGGCACGACTCGGAGCCCCCCGCCCCGACACGCACAGAGGCACAGCCGAAGGCTGTTGGGTTCCACAGACGGAATGTGACGGCCGCCTTAGGCCGCGGGATGCTTGCCAGCGGGTTGCCCTCCGCCGTCCCCTGCGGCGTCCCAGGGC